AGACATCAGTACTGGTTGCACTCTTACAACTTTCATATCTCGTTTCATCAATATTTTAAGAAAAAAAAAAAAATCACAAGCTTAAACAAAAAGAAAACTTGTAGATCTGTACCATTTCTAGTTATAAACACTGCGTTGATTTCAGACGTGTATATAAAGTTTAATTTCATGTATACAAAAAGTGTTATATGTTGTATATACCGTATATAAATTAAAACTCAAAAGAATTATAGTTTTAGATTATCTGTGAATATTAAGTCGACTGTCTTTAAAAATCGAGTATTTGTCAGGTGACCTGTGATGTGCAATGAAACCATAATTTTTTATATGAAGAGTCGAAATGCCTTGCATGTAATTGCTTGATATATTTGGATAACTGTATTGCTCTATGTTCACTGTAACAGGCAACTAATGAGGAAAGTGAAAATACGCGGAGAATGAATATGTAAGGAAAAAGAAAAGAGAAAGAGAGAAAAAAAATGAAAAGAGAAAAGGGAAAGGGAGGGGGAAAGACAGAGAGAGAGAGAGAGAGAGAGAAAGGGAGAGAGAGAGAGAGAGAGGAAGAGAGGATGGAGACAGGGGATGTTATGTGGCCATATTTATTCATATTGTCGAGTACGAAAGTGAGAAGTCGATCGATTATATACATGTTCTGGATGTGATTCCCACAATGTTGTGCACAGACTGAGGTGTAGGGCAGTTTCCCCGCACCTTTTGCGCCTGGCAGCAGCATACCCGCTGGCCAATCAGCAATCTGTGACGTCACTCTCCGAAACGTGTCCTTGAGTGGTTTCAAAAAGTCTGTTAATGTAGAAGATGCCTTTATCAAGATAGATATTTTGTTAATAAATAGTCTGTTGATGTGTGATATGTTTATTGTTTAAATATTTTAACACAAATGAGAAATACATTTGTAAGTTTTCACAGCTTTGCGAAACGAAATAGAATGGTTATAAACCATCATATCTGCAGAATAGTTAAGTACTGTTTCCACTTTATTCAAAGATTCTACAAAATTTTGCATATAGTTGAATATCATACCTGCACATCAAGTCCTTTACTGGTTTTCTAAAGAAAAATATTTTTTCCAATCTTTGAATGTCAGTACAAAATTTAATGATACTAGTGTTGCAACGACCATGATACAAAATCCAACATTTATCAAAGAATTTGGGTTTTCGGGATGCTACAAAAAGGCCTTATATATGTATGTATCTGTATGAAAGTCTTCGTGTGTACGTGCTTGTGAATATTCGCATACACACGATATGACTCAGTTGCAGAACGAAATGACCAGTGTCATCTAAGGCGGTGCTTGACCTTAAGACAAAAATCACGGTGTATATAAGGTCGCCTCCTTTACGCTGCCTCAGTATCATCTCCTATTCATGATGGTAAGAGCTCTTCGGCGGCGTGAATGTTGATTTCAATTCTTGCTAAAAGTTCGATGCCTGATCATCATTTCATGACCACGTCATTCAAGGAACGTCTTGTTGTTTTCAGAGACTGAGTGTGTTGGTGGCGTTGGGCTTGGTCGTCGGGTCGGCCTGCAGCAGCTGCCTCGGCGGAGGCTGTGGCGGAGGATCCTCTGGTGGCGTCAGCCGCTCCTACGCAGGACCCACCAATAGCTTCGGAGGAGGAGGAGGAGGAGGAGGAGGAGGATCGTTCGGGGGAGGATCGTTTGGAGGCGGATCCTTCGGGGGAGGATCCTT